ATCTTTGACCATTGATCTTTTTCTTAGCAAAATATTATATGGTGGTTTTCTGCTGCCTTCTTCACCATTGTAGAGGCATCTACAGGTAGCCATGATGATGCAAAATGCATGTTGTGATGTCACAGTACAAACTCTGGGCTTTCATTTTTGTGTTGTGCTGTTCCACTAAATATTAAGGGGCAGAATTTGTGTTGGAGCACTTGCCCATCCCACCAATACACATGTACCATTCTTATATTATGATATGAAAGTACTTCATTCCCACTGTTGCAAATACCATTATAACTGTTCCAAGCTCCATGCTTCTGCTTTAGTTGCTATTGGTAAAACCACAGTTATAGTCTACCAGAACCATGGTTATTTGTAGTGTTCGGGCCACAATAATGTCTTTAGAGATTTTTGGGACATTACTCATATGTTGCTGTCACTACATTCTGGTATTGTTGCTACTAATTGTCCATAACTGTTTTCTTTTAGCAGAGTTTATATCATAACTAACCATTACAGACTGTCATCATTTAGTGACAGCCTCATACAGTGACTGACAGTTAAAACAGTGATGGAGAAGTGATTTTGTGACCAATCCTCGCATTTACAACCTTCGCAGGTACTGTATATAAAACAAAGGAAAGCTGGAGTAAGATTGTAAGCACAATTGAGGTTTTGCTTAGCAACCACCTCACTGAACAACCATGTTGGCATCCCAATTGTGGTTGCTAAATGAAGACTACCTATATATTTAATACCCATTCCCGATGGCACCCTGGTGGATGCAGCTGATAGCCTAAGGCTTGGTCACAAGCAGAGCTTCATCAGTTAGCACAATGCCCAATGGCATCATTCCACCACAATGTGACTTCCAAAGCTTCATTTTCTCAAAATGTTATTTCTCTCTGCTTGCCCTTTCTGCCCAGTTCCAGCTAAGGTACAGTAGTACTCCAGCATCTTCTCACTTTAGCATATTAAAACAGTGGCTTGCATCTTTAAAAGAAAGTTCTATCTCGGCTTCCTCTGCCCACAGTTGAGGAGACTAAGTAAGAGGGCTTGGGAGCAGGAGGAGTTAAATCCCTGCTTCCAAACACACAATTACTTTTTGATGCTCGGGGGCACTTGATCCCAGGGAAGGTAAGATAAGCAGGAGTGGGAAAAGGCAGGCAATGAAAGGCTGGGGAAAAGTTTCATCTTCACCCTGAGCAGAAGCAAATGGCAGCTTTGTTCCGTCCTCTTTCTCTCCCAATTTTCTGACAACAACAACCCCCCCCCCAAAAAAAAGGCTCTTGATAAGGGAATCCCCCTGGGGTGAAAAGCAATATACAGCTTCTTCCATGCTGCATTCATATGGATGCTCAAAGCCTCATTCATCTAAGTTAAGGCAGCCTGGGTAGGAGGGCAAAGCAGTGAAAAGGAGGGGGAGGACAGGGAGACTCCATATTTAGCACTGGAGCTTCTGTGCCTGAATAGGCTTTTCTCCAGTGCCCTTTTCCCACGAGAAACTCTGACCTGTTTGGGGGGGGGGGTATAAAAAAACCCCTCACCCTTCAAGGCTCTTAGCAAAAGACTCAACAGGAACAATGCCTTTGGGGTGGCTAAATGGAACCTCCATGATGGGGCAGTATAGCATTGAGTGCCAGCTGATGGGGAACAAGAAAGAGAATTCCACTGCTTTCATCTGAAGCTCTGCTTGGGGTCCTCTTCCTGAAGGTATCCAGTTCCTGGCCAACTTTAGGGGCTTAAGAGGGGATTTTGGCAAAATGCTTCACAGAGTACCCAATGTGAGGTCAGTGGGGACAGTGGAAGGTGACTTGTTTCATTTCCCACAAGTCTCCATCCTCCCTCACCCACGTGGCAAAGTGCCCTGTGAGAACCTAAACTGCCTAGTTTAAACACTTCCTTCCTTCCTGAATGATCCCTGCGGGGAAACAGGAATTTCAGGTTAAGAATCCCATCCTTTGGTCCCATTTAAAGTTTAGAACACAAAGCTCTGTCAACCTGGTTATGACATATCTAGGTATCCTAAAAAAGCTCCTCCTCCCCAAGAACATGGGATCAAATTCTCTAAAATCTTTCAAAATAACTCATGCATTTTCGGTGAATTGCAGGATACTTCTTTTTATTATCTTTAATAGTCTATATCCCACCCAGTTGCAGGGTGCAATTGACAAATCTTGTAATCCACCTAGCCCAGATAAATACATGCGCATGCAGGGAGATTGCAGAACAAATGACTATTTGAATCATAATAACAAAATAATAAACAGCAATTTAATCCAATCATCTGGTTTAACATCACTCCTCTTTATCATGTACTCTTGTCTTCAGCCCTTTCTTTATCCCTGCTCTTCTGATTCCACTAATTGCTCTTTGTTCTCAGTAAATAGCTACCTTTGGCCTCTCATCCCTAACTCTGCAGCTCTCTCTGACTTATCACTAACTGTCTCTCTCCCACTTCCAACGGACTTTCTCCACAAGTGACATCTGCACGAAGCATCTTTTCATCAACTCCTGCTGCTGAGTCAGCTGCAAAAACCCTTCCAGAGAAAAGAGAGTCTGCTGTTACCCAGACTCTGATAACCTCCAGATTAGATCACTGAAATTTATTGTATGTAGGATTGTCTTTGAAAACTGCTTTGAGGTCAGCATTGCCATAAACATTAGATTAACGTGTGGTTGGCTAGTTATAATTATCCAAACCAGGAAAATACTCACCCACCCACCTCCATACACAATGTGTGTTGTAATTGGGTTCATCTGCAAGCCATAGTTTCATTAACCATGTGTTAGAGCTTACACAAAAACAGCTACAATATTGCTGATGTACTATGAACTGGGACTGGTAAGATGAGACTCATTGTGATACTCCTGAAATGGTCATGCTGGCTGTAACTTTGTTTCTAGCACCATTTTAAAACTTTTTTTTTAAAACTGTAACCTTTGGATGGGAGACCACTAGGAAAACCCAGGGATTTAAGCTAGGGTGGGAAGTCAAAAGAACATTGTAGAAAAGACAATAGCAAAGTCCATCAAGAACATGAATATCATCCAAAAATCATCAGGAATTGAGCTTGATTTGAATTGTCTTTATTTTTACAGCCTAAATTTAAGACACTAGAGAATTATCTAATCCAGAGGTTAACAACTTTTTTGCTGCTGAAGACTACATTTGCATTAAAAAAAAAATTGCAGCAGAGGTGTTACACAGGGTTTCCCCCCTTATATGTAGCTGATGCTATCCACAAGAGTTACAATCCTGGAAACAGGAAAATAAAGGCCAAATTTATTGAATTTGGCTTTAGAATTATACTAAAAGGTAGAAAGATTCAGTATTATCCACCATGGAAGAATGCTTGGTGAAATTGACAGAACTTGCTGAGATGGACAGACTTATTTTTTTGATTACAGAAAGAACGATATCTATATTTACTGGTGATCAGAAACCCCTTGTGGGACCTTTTTGTGTAAAAATAAAAAACCTTGTGATTTATGGTTTTCATGTTTAGATAAGAGATTATGGAAAGAAGAAAGTCATGATATACAGTAATTTTAGAGACAGGTTAAAATATATTTGAACTATCAGAAATATAAGACTATCAGAAGCCATTTCTTTATACCTTTATGCCTTTCTTTATATTGTTCTCTTTTTTCCTAATTTCTTTTTTTCTTATTACACTTTTAGCTTTTCTTTTATTTCCCTTGTCATTTTCTTTCATTTATATTAGTTCTTATTATTGTTGCTAAAACTTTGTATATGTATATGAACCACTCTGAGAAAACAAGAACCATACTACAAGAGAAAGGAAAAGAACAAAATGGTGAATCTAGCAAACCACACAGAATATATACCACCAATATTCAGCAGTGTTACTTAATATGAAATTACTTTGTGTTACAAAAGGTATCCTCAGCTACCATATTAAACCCTGCCCTAAATTCTAGCTCCGTAAAACTTGAATATCTTCAGTTGATGAAAAAAATGAATATGAGACTCAAAATCATTTTTAATTGAATGATAAAGACTGCGAATCTAGCTGCAGTGATTTGCACTAATCTCTTGCCTTTGGATTATATACATTTCCCCAGAGGCTAGTAGGTTTCCCATTTTTGTCAAATGTGTCATTCCATGGGAGTATCTTTCCCAGAATATTTTGGGAAGTGAGTAATGATACAAAAACACTTTGTAGATATGTCAAAAATGTGAGCTATAATGAATTATAAATAGATTTGTTTACATTTTGTAGAAACAAGAATTGTGGGATACTTCTTCCATTTTGTGTGTGTGTATGTGTGTGTGTGTGTGTGTGTTTAAAATGAAAGATATCCATGAGAGTATTGAAGGAGAAAAGAGGACAAATGCTTCATTCACCTAAGTGGAAAGTACAGAGTTCTAACAGGATACAGTAATATATGTAATATGCAGAGTTGATGTATTCATACTGCAGGACTTAGTAGCGTTCCTCCTATTCGTGTCACTTCAGCAGAGATGGAATATTTATAGAGAAAATCTATTGGGACAGACTTTAAATATTCCAATGAGAATTTCCTGCAATATGAAGGGATTAGTCATATATATTTCAGAATCAGAATAGAGCTGGAAAGGACCTTGGGAGATCTTCTAGTCCAACCCCCTGCTCAAGAAGGAGACCCTACACCATTTCAGACAAGTGGCTGTCCAGTCTCTTCTCAAAAACCTCCAGTGATGAAGCACCCACAACTTCCTAAGGCAACAGCTGGAACACCACCATATGCTTATTCCACAAAGTATTCCAGCAATAAACTATGTATCCTTTAGTTTTGCCTAGGGTCTCGTGTGAACCCTGCTCCTCTCTCCCAGAGATTTTGACTGCCCTTATGGAACATTTCACTTCCCCCCCATCTCCTCCCGCTCCCCCCCACCCACCCCCCCAGCATAGGCTGAGCGCATGTGTTTCATTAGCTAAACCCTCTCCAGTTCTACATACCAGATTGGTAACATTACGGTAACACATTGCTAATGCTTGACTCACAAGATCTTGGAAGGATGGAATCGAGGTGGTGGGGGAAGGAGGGCGTCTAGGAGAAAAGCCGCTTAAATTCCTGATGCTCTCCCACTGTTCCACCGCCCTAGTTTTCAAAGTAACGTTTCCAACCGTTCGTATTTATTTATTTTTTAATGGAGCGTCGGGGGAGGGGGGCGCGGGGGGAGGAAAGAGGCAGGGTTGCGAGGAGATTTCTCAACACAAAAGTTGGCCGGCGGGTGGGTGACACGGGCTTTGCGCGGGAGGGAAGGAGGGAGGGAGAGACGGCCATCCGCTGCCAAGGGAGGGAACCCCAGCACCTTGGCTCCCTTTTCTGCCTCCTGCGGGACGTCTCCCTCCCCTCGCTCTCGCTGGCTCTTAAGTGGCAGCCCTCCGCCCCCTTGTTCCCAGGGTAGGCTCGGCTAGCTGGCAGGCAGCTCTTTCGAAGTTTGATAAAGCGTTTCCTTCTATTGTCATTCTGTACGGCCTCGGGCCTTTCTTTCTTTCTCGCAGCCCTTCCCCTCCTGCTTCCCCTACCACCACCGTACCACCACCCCGCGGTCTCTCTCTCTCTCTCTCTCTCTCACACGCACACACACACACACACACGCACACCCATTTTCACAGTCAGACTTGCGGCTTAAAAAAGCAACTGCCTTTTTTTTCTCAAACGAAACACAAACACACACACAACAAACGCAGCCGAGGAGGAAAGAAGGAAGCAACGGAGTAGCAGCGAGCGGCGATGAAACGCGCTCCTCGAGGATTCGACTGAAGAATCCTGGATGAATGGGCGCAACCGCGGTGAGTTAGGATCTCGCGCAGGTTGCGCGTTTGAGCCGGAGCGGCGAAGCTCAGGGAGCCGCTCCTTCTTTTAAAAAAGGCGCGTGCGCGCGTGTGTGCGTGTCTCTGTGTGTGTGTCAATGGGGGGGTGGTGGTGATCGCTCTGGGGTTTCTTTGCGGCTTCCTCGTTTTCTCCACGGCCGCAGACAGACGCACGCAAAGGATCGGCGGTGGAAGCCGCTCGCTTAGCGCGGCCTGCCGCTAGGCGCTCTTCCGAGGCGTGCAGAGGGAAAGCAGTGTGGGCTGAGGGGTGGATGGGTTCCCTGCTGCCGATCCCATCGCTTGGGGGGGGGGGTCCGTCCTGCCGATCCTATCGCTGGGGCGGGGTGTGTGTGTTTCCCTCCTGCCGATCCCATCGCTATGCCCAGTTGACGGCCAATTATCCAGGAAGGTTTCTGGGCTTAATCCCGCCCCCTCTGGGATTGCTTAAGCCGTCAGTGCCAATACATTGGCTCGACCGGTAGGTCCCTGCTGCAGAATTGAGGAGTACCCCGAGGGCTGCCACAGGAAAGAAAGGACCGTTTAGCTCACGGTTCCGCTTCCGTTTCACCAACGCTTCTTGAAGTGGCCTCTTGCTTTCACCTGAGATGAAAGCAGTCGCACGGCCGGAAAGGAGAGTCCGTCTCTTTGAGCTTCCGTGCCTCAGTGGAACAATCTGCTAAATAGGTGCTGTCCCCCCCCCCGCCACACACCCCCCTCTCCCGTTCCATTTCCTTACTGGCCCAATCTCAAGAGGCGATGGGGAGCCGGATGGGCGCCCTTTGCGAGATAAGGCGCAATCAGAATTCGTAAAACGGGCTCACCAGAAGAAACGTTTTAGCAGAGAACCTCAGGCTGAAGGCAAGAAGTCCTTAACTTCTGAAGGTGACCAGTAAGTGCCTTGTATGCTTACTCAGAAGCAAACCCACTGCACTCAGTGGGGTTTTCCCCAGAGGTAGCATGTCTAAGATTGCAACCAGGGGCTGCACATTTATAGCCACATATTTATATCTGCGTTGGGTGAACTCATACTGTGCTTTGTTTTTTGCAGCAAAATTGGCTCTGTTTTGGCATTTCTTCCTCCTCCTCCATGCTAATCTCTATCTGCTGCTGGGGACCAGTGGATAACTCGTATACTTTTGATTGTGTTGCTTGAAGAAAAGTTTTGGATTTGAGGTTTTAAAAATTCACTTGGTAAAAGAGGTTCTAAGTTAGATTGAGAGGGTCAAAAGTTTGGTTCTTTGGCTACCAAGTAAAAAGCACTGCTCTATATGCAAGTGAAAAAGGAAGGCATCCTTTGTTTACATTTTGGTGAACATAAGGGGGTTGGACTGGTTAAAACAATTAAGTTTCCGTTGTATTGGCTGCTGAGCCCAGTTTTTTCCTGTGTACTGGAGCTGTAAGAATCGCGGCAGAACTAAAATAAATGTTAGTTGTGCAAATTCAGACATTGGGATGGGGGGGGGGGAATGTATGAATGCTAAGTTCTGAAACTTGTGTACACATTTCACTTTTTAAAAGTAAGCTTGAGAAGTTTTTAAATCAAATATTAACATGTTGTTTGTTGGTTATCTTGACATGGAACATACGTGCTTGTATTTGTTATTAATCTAAACATTCTAAACAACTGTTTGAAAAATAGAGGAGGGGGGCATTTGAATTTGATGAATGCAGATTTCTTCCTTTGTATTTTTTTAAATGTTCACTGAGACTTTTCCCTCAATATATTTCCCTCCTAATGGTACATATACTACACAGGGAAAATATAAATGACCAGATACCAATACTACAGTATGCACTTACAAACTACTTAATAATTGATCTTTGAAATCTTTCAATATCAGACTTTCCTTAAAAAAAAAGCGCCTTCCATGGGTGATAGGATTACAATCTCCAACATTCCCATCTAACGTACTTTATGAAGATGGATAGTTTCTCAAAATCATCTGGAAGAAATAAGTGACACATTCACCCTTAGCAACAGTTAATCCTGGCACACACATTCACATGCCCATCTGCAAATTGGCCACTGTGTCTTCTGAATGGTCAGTTTCCCCTCTCTGCACTATTCTAAATCACATTGGTTGAACACCAAGGGAGTTGGAAAGGTACGGTAGATCAGTTTTCAGAAGAGACAGTTTGAAAAAAAAATATGGATTCATGCCCATGGAAGATAATTAAACCTTCTAGCACACATAGAAGGTAAGTTTATAAATACTTTGTCCCCAGAATATAGTTCATGTGTGTGTGTGCAGTCCCTGTCATCCATACTATGCATTCTGCCAATTCTGTTTTACCTGAATCTATTTTCTTGCACATGGATGCCATCTAGCCCCAGCTATGGAATTGCACCAGGTATGGATTAGGTTTGTAGCTATTCACATTTTATAAAAGCTTTTTAAAATCCAGGGCTGCATATATGTACTTCGAAGTTTTGCTTAATCTAGTATAGGGCAAACTCTGCATACCTGATCAACAGTAATTTTCACTGAATTCAGCAGGAGGTCCATCTAGGTGTAGGATTGCAACCTGCCTCTGCATGCTTCTCTGAACTGAACTGTATCCCCGAATGTTTGTGTATAAATGTAAATGTACACATGCATACACAAAACTGAGTAGGATTGAGCTAAACTATGGAGAGCATTTTGCATATTTTTCATTTTAAGAATGTCATGTGCTGCTCCTCAAATGAAATGTTTTTATAGGGTGGTGTGCAGTCAATATCAAGCATTCATTTAAAATCTAAAATGTCTAAAAATTCTAAACTAAAACCAGTTAAGTTAAAGTAAGTTAAAGATTAATAATAAAAACTATAGTCATATAGTAAAACCATTAATTTGTTGAGATGAACCAGAAGGCCGTTGCCATAAAAATCAAGAAGGAAAGGTGTTGTCTGATTATTGTGTTAGCTTGTTTTTAAGCTAAGAGAAAATGCAGCAAACTTAATACAACTTGATGAAGGAAGTCAGCTATGGATGCCCCTCTTCCAGACAGCTTGCCTTCCTTCAGGCATCAAATGAATAAGAATGAAGTTGGGTTTAAAGATGGATGAGCTGCAAGCAACAAACAAGTTTGCTTGAGATTCCAGCAATTTAGCAAATTCGGGGGTAGGGTGAGATCAGCTTGTGGAAAGGAAACAGGATGAAAAGAGAATGGTGTTTACTTCTCTCTTGGCTGTGTGTTTCCTGGTGGGCTCCAGAAAGGCTTGATCTTGTTGTGTTCCTCAAGTGGAGCAGACAGAACTGCTTATAAGGGGAAGCATGCTACAAAGAAAGCAATATTCAGAAAAAAGGAACTTTGGTTATGGACACAATCTTCTCTTTCCTCTATAAATAGATTGTATGGTTTAGCTAAGAACAAACAAAACAAATGCTATTTACAATATACACAATGCACTTTCTTACTGCTGTTTGGTAGTGGATGCTTGGTGCAAAAGTGTTCTTAGCATAGGAAAGAAAGTGGGGGCAAAGAGGAAGCTACAGTCTTTTAGGACATCCACTGAAGCTGCTTTCCCAAGCTTGTGCCACTCCTCCAGATGTTTTATAATCCTCTTTCCAGATGAAAATCCCTATTATGGTGCTCAATAATTCTAGGTAGGACTGGGAAGAAGACGTCCTTGAAACTACAATGAGCTGCTTAATGCTGATAAAATGGAGTTATAAAGCAGCGGTTCTCAACCTGTGGGTCGGGACCCCATTTGGGGTCGAACGACCATTTCATGGGGGTCGCCAAACAACGCAGTCCGCCATTTTTTCCCCCTTTTCCTTAGCTGTGCTACTCCCTTTTATTCTATTGGCTTTTGAAAGCCAATAGAATAGACTCTCTTGAATAGAGTCTAATTCTATTGGCTTTCAAAAGCCAATAGGAATTGTCCAGGCTGTCTCTGCCCTGCTGAGCCCGCCAAAAGTCCCATTCTGCAAATGGTGCTGCAAGTTGTCTGCAGCGAAGGCGAGCTGTCTGGAAGTTTCCACCCTTCCCTGCTGAGCAACTACTAAAAATGTAAGTAAAAGAGAGCCAGGGGTGGGAGGTGGAAGGCCGGCGGGCACAGGGAGGGTTGCTGGCACGCGTGGGGCCCGGTGGATGCCTTACCTCCCTTGGGCTGGGCCAGCTGGTGGCCCAGCTGGTGGTCGCCTTGCGCCGTCTCTGCCGCTTGCCAGCTACGCCTCAGCCAGCGCAGGGGGCGGCACCACGCATGTGCGGCGCTCCCGGGCAGGGAAAGTCCTTGACTTACGACTGGTTGGGTAGTCCTTGACTTACGA